TGGAATTAGGAGGCATCACTGCGGATGGTCCGAACTTTGAACAATTCTTGTAAAACTATATTTTGTGTCTGTTATCTGTTGTGCTGCTAAGTTTGACCTAATAATGCGTTTTACACTACTTTCTATATTGTGTTCTGCTGCGTCTTCATGCCAGTTCTGTCATGCTTTTCAATGTGAATATGGCTCATACAGATGTTGTTTACCTCTTTCTAAAATCTATGCATGGAGTTTGGAAATTAATTTTGCATCCTTCATAGTAGATGCACGACTTCTGTGATGATACTCACCATTTTATCAAAATTATCAGGTGTTCATTCTTTCCCAATGCACATGATGGTGACAGTAAACAAAAATGAAAGAGGAATACATCACGTTTAGCGCCTCTTTATATAACCTTTTAATATGTTATGTCAATGAGATAATTTTCATTTATCTAATATTTTTATACAACATTTATTCACTGTAAAAATACACAATAACTTAATTAATTAATTCTTATTACATAAATTATCATTCTTCCAAATATATTTATTTTACTTTCTTTACGAATACATCATTACTAAACAAGATATTTTCAAAATTGTTGCATTTCATTTACGTCATTTTTACGTCTCGTTTTTCAAAGCTTAACAGAGAACATCTTAATAAAGGCCTTCGTAATACAACATTTTGCCTACTGTGCTTCCCTTGCGAGATAAGAATTAAAATTAAAATTTGCAGCAAAAGTATTTATAAATTTCTAAGCGCATGCCGTGTATTTCAGAATATAAGCCGAGAGGTAAGATTTAGTACAAAAATTTCAGCCAAAATTGAAAACCCATACATAAGCTAAATTTAAAATCGCTTTGTAAGTTAGAAAGGGCTGTTCACTCGTGAAGCAATTCAAAGAACCAATTCACCTAACTTAGCGAACAAACAGTGATTCTATAAATCTGAGCGGTAACGCGCTTAGACTTCATCTACCGAGAACTCTTATTGGAAACAGTCCAGGAAAGTTCGATTCGCATTTTAGAGGAGAAAAGAATTGTTGTTCATATTAAAAGTGTGTTTAATCTTTGTCGTTTCTCAACATTTTGAACACTTTTTTATTCCATATTATTATTTGTTTTAAAATAAAAGATTTTAGAGAATCTCAAAAATACGATTGAAACACATCAGTTCAGGGATTTAGCTATACATGAGTGGATTCTCCCGATCCCATTTCTCCTTTAATTCTTTCCATTCTTCCCTTCATCCTTGCTCACCGCTCTTGATTCACTCCTTGTTTCGGATTTTATTCGTTAAGGCTACTGTTGATGAAAGGTGAGTCGTAAAAAAGATCTGATTCAGTTCATAGGAAGAACGGTTTTGATCTGATTCAACAAAACACTGGTTTTGTCCACCTCTATTATAAATCCAGCTATATCGTGCGAGTTTAATTTAATTAGAGCTATGAAATGAACTGAAGTTAAGGTGCCAGTCCGCCTTCAGCTTCAGTATGAAAAGTAAGACTGAGAACTTTGTAGAAAGAAAGGAGCAGTTTGGGCGCAAGTAATTTCATTTTATCAATTCTCCCAACTTTTGATCATGCACACATTTGACGCTTCGGGAGATTTTACTTTGGCTTTCAACTGCAGTAAGTACACTGCAGTTTAGTGGATAAAATTAAGAAATGGAACAATTTTTCCCAAATATCGGGAGAAATACTGGTTAAAAATAAATGAAATTATGTATGGGTATGGTTTATTGCATTACAATAATGAGTACAAAACAGCAATAAAATGCCATTCAATAGCAAGGGTTATGGCCAAGAGTCTAATGTGGTCCAAATTTGAGGTTAAAAAATGGCAGTAAAAATGTGGCTCTTATGGTGTGTGGTCGTCTGTGACAAACAGACAGCGTGCATAATGAGTAGCCATGCTGTTAGCAAGAGAGTACAAGAGTGCCTGTGGAAGTCGCACCCACTCCTCCACAATGACAGTTCTTAACTCCTGAATGGTTCTGGATGGGGGTTGGCGTATTGCAATAACACTTCCAGGAGCATACTAAGCATGTTCGAGAGGATTAAGGTCAGGATATTTGGCTGGCAAATGCAATCGGTGAATATCCTTGCTTTTCCCAGATAGTCATCAAACATACGGGCCCTATGTAGTCGTGCATGGTCGTCCATAAAATTAACTCAGCGCAAACAGCACCCCTAAAAAGCTGTACATAGGGCTGTACGGTCTCCTACCTGTACTTCTGGGCATTCACGAAACCAGTGTCAAACACATGGAGCGGTGTGTGGTATCTTTAATAATCCCTTCCCAGACCATAACTCCTCCACATGAAAAGGAAATATCATGGAAAGGGACCAATATGGTAATATTGGTTCCTTTCCATGATATTTCTTGGATGGTATCGGGTCCCAGGTTCTCTCCATACAATTAATCACCGAGAATGAGTTTGTAAACTTAATCTAGACTCATCCGTGAAAAGAGCATTAACCCGCTGTGTCTAGTTTTGGTGTTGTATGCACTATTGTAAACGTTCTCTTTTTTTGGGAGGCAGGGAGTGGGATACAAATAGAGGGCTTTCTGGCATACAGTGCTATCTCACGGAGTCTTCTGACAACTGTCTTCCTTGAAACTGATGTTCCTGTGGCAGTCTCGAGGTTACGAGACTGTATGGCTGTAGACGTCCTCTGGCGCTTGGCTGAAATGACCAAATACCGGTCGCCATTAGTCGTTGTAGATCTCAGGAGATATTGTCCGGGTCTTCTGGACACTGTCCCACTGTTTTTTAACTGATTCCACCAATTGGAGATGACATTTGATGTCATATCCAGTTTGATGTTACGTTCCCTTGCAACCTGAGCTTGGTACTGCCCTACCTCAAGCCTAAACACGATTCTCCTTCTCATACCTTTATCTAAGCGGTGATATATACTCATTTTACCTAATAAACAGCATAGAATAACAAGATTGTTCAAGAAAGACAATAAAAATCACTACTGTGTTGCAGAGCGGAATTGAATGAGCATCTGGACGTGGACTTTTACATCTGCTAGCGTAGCGACGCCCACAGGAATATGTAAACTCATCTCAGAAACACCAGCGCCACAGTAAAATTGTACGACAACCAACTGTTTGTGTGGTATTTTAGGAGAAATGTGGGAAAAGGGTTTCCATCTCTTAATTTTGTTCATCAGTATATTTGCAAGCAGCCACAGTACAAAGAACTTCTAAGAACTCCTGGAAGTGTTTTGCATAAAACTGCTTTCCCTCAGTTCCAATCTCGTTTTTATTAGACAATGTAATTTTTCATTTCTTCATGTAGTGAAAGATGCCCGGTCAAAACGGGATCGAATATTCTGCAATATTTAATTGCTTTTGCTAAGCAGTGCTATGGACAATAATGAAGGTTATGTTATCTATAAAGTGGATGACGACTATCTAAATGGTGAAATGGATAACAATGACATTCACCTAGGCATGGCTCGAGATAAAGACCTATGCCTTTCAATCTACAATGTAATTTTTGTGTTAGAATTGTTTGTAAACTAATTTGAAATCCATTTTATAATCGAGCCCAAATTTCAATCGTAAAACATTTGCTAAAAACGCTTATAATTTTGGGTTATATAAGAAATTATTAAATATATTTTGTTTCTTTTCATACATTTTAAAATTAATTGTTTCAAGAATTATCAAGCACTGCTATGTTCATACTAAAAGATTCCTAGTATTATGTTACATTGTAATAACTTTAGAACCTTTGGTCTTTTTTAAAACAAAAATGCAGTCAAGTAAGCGCACATTTAGTAGAACATCTTTCTAAGAAATAGAAGAAAATTTGTATTTTCAAGAATAATAGGAATTTTCTATAGAAACTGAGTGGGGATATATATGTTTGGCTTTGCTTTGCATTCCATGTATTCTTGTCCATTTTAAATGTTCCTGAGTGAGAGCTGAAGCGAAAAATAGCTTGTAAATATATTAAAAGAAGTAAAGGTCGAACCTTCGTTAACGAACAATCCACTTTTACATACATACCTCAAGAAGAAAAACCTTAATTCCATGAGTATTCCGTGAGTAGACTTATGACAATTTAGAATACTCCACGCAGATTTCTTTTGCCCGTCGACATCCATTTTTCTTGTTCTTATATTATTATGAGAAATTATAAGATGGTATCTGTGGCCCTTAAAATGCGAGGCTCTGTACCTGGTGTCTTGGGGGTCTGTTTGATAATCAGGGCTTGTTTACCACAGGTTTTAAACTAAAACAGACAAACTTCAGTTTGAGACCTACGGCGGAATCTTTTGCTAGGAATGATTTCCATACGCTTCAAAGTTTTAGTCTACTATTTAAGTTTGCAATAATATTCTTTACCCGGTAACATCACAGAACCACAGAAAATAAGTAAGAATTTTATTGATATCTAGAAAACATTTTCTGCTATGTAATCAATTAGGTCAACGCACGAAAGGCTATTTTTGTAATGTAAGGTAACTGTTAGCAGCGAATCACAATTCAGAATATACAAAACAATAGAATGTGCCACAATCGTTCCTTTGTTTAAATTACATAATCTGTAAATTTCAAAAGTTTCGGTAAAAATGCAACAAGTCAATACAGTAATCTGCATTTCCATAATTTCATAACCCACGCCAAGTGAAATAACAATGTTAAAATAAATGATATAACTAAACTTGCTAGCCATTGCAGTTGTTTATCAACCCTGCCCTAGATATCTGTGAGCCTAACTAAAAAATACTAAATTTTAATGATATGCAGACGCTTCGCCGTGACGTGTACGAAAGCAATATCTTAGAAACCAAGAACAAATTTGATTAAGAAATTGAATGTTTCTAGAATTTTGACCTTTATCCTAAGATGCAGAAGGGTTGGCATCTAAAATTTCCCAAGTAACTACACCTGTGATCAGATTGTTTAAAGCAAAGTGTTGAGAAAATAAGCATCTGCTTTGTAAGGACTCTCGATATATAAATCGGGTTTATCATGAAAGATGTACCAGAAACTGATCATTGAGTTTCTTGAGGTAAGTGTTGACACAAAACTCATTTCTTCTTCTTAGCTTTAAGATCTAACTGAGATCTTACGGTTTATTAAATGCATAAAATTATAATCAGTGATTTTAAGAATTATTAAAGAAAATTTTTAAAATTTTTTCACACGGCTTTATATAACCTCGTTTATCTGCTTCTATGTTATTTTGTTTGTTGGGGTCTAATCTCGAAATTAAATTTTGTTCTTTTCTATTAAGCTGATTTTACTGAAATTTTTCACACATTTGGAACAAAATATTCCGTAAGACATTTTTTCTCCCCACACAGCTTTAGATATTATTTTTTATTTATTTATTTAATAGCGAGTTTTTCTCCCATATCTTCGCTTAAAAATTAAAAATGATCCTCTCAGAATTTAGAACATTTCACTGTCGGACAGAATAAGAGATAAATTTCCAAACGAATTTTTTCTATAATTTTTGAAGTTCAAAGAATTTTGGCAGTTTTCAAAAAACGCTTGGTTTCAAATTTAAAAAAATAATATTTTACTTTTTAGTTAAACATCACTCTGAATAACAATCAAAAACAAAGTCCAACATTAAGAATCAGCGTAAATTACGTTTTTATAAATTTACACTGATTCTAAATGTTGGACTTTGTTTTTGATTAATATTTTACTGTTACAAGCCTCAATATTTTAGGTTTTAATAAGATCAGATGATCAAATGATAATGAGATAATCAAACAAAAATTTAGGTGACGTGAATGTAATCTTATGCCATATTCAAGAGAATATTAATTTTATATTTTCAGAGGGAGTGATTTCTTCCTTTATTACTTTTCTATATTCTATAGATTAAAAATTATCAGATAAAATATCTAAACAAACTTTCTAAATTACACGATTTTAATGAAATGCACTGAAAGTAAAAATTTTTTCGGCTGCTATGATATTCTTGATCATATATGATTAAAAATAAAATCGCGAGTTCATAAACGAATTGCATAATAACACTGAGAAAGCTTCAAGTAAAAATAGAAGTACTAGTATAGAAATTGAAGTAAAAGAATGCATATATACAGTTCGTTCAACATTCTCACTTGATGTAAAATCCTATATTGGTAGCAGCCAAAGATTTTATTTTTAGTCATGTATAATCAAAAATATTATGATAGTTAAATTAATAATCTTTGTTTTCGCATTTTAGGGCCTTTGACTGAAACCTGAAATAAAAAAAAATTAAATGCATTTTTATTTATAGCTTCGTGCGATATTTAATTTTCTCGTGAATTTTCACAATATCATTTCAAGTGCAATTCGATTTTCTTGCAAACTAAAATCTTGTTTGCTAATTAGCATTAAAACTCACTGCTTGAATTATTATTAATTAGCATTAAAACCCATCATACAATAATAATAATAATAATTGCTTGAATTATTATTAATTAACATTAAAACCCATTATGCAAAAATGTACAGTTATATTGAAAGGAGATTTAATTTCGTTTCTTCTTATGTCCTTTTCTATTTAGAAAAAATCAATTATTAAAATGCCTGCTTTCTTACTTTTGCGATAAAAATGTTTTTTTTTTTTTTTTTTTTTTTTTTTTTTCCCTGCAGTACCGTATAAACAATCTTATGCTTGTACAATTGGCAATTAAATATAAAAATGAAACATCGTATTCGATTGACCTCATAGCAATAAATATAGTGAGAGTAATAGTGATTGTTTTCAAATCATAACAAAAAAATCCGCAATTTTAATATTAATATATAATGAATCAAAAAGAAGTGAACAACAGTGACTTGCTACGGTTCCCGCCTTTTTTATCAGTTTCTTATTAAAGCGATCACCAACTTCAGTGTGTTAGTAATAATTTTTAACTCAAATATTAACTTTTGATTAGTGATGTTATAATTATTTGTTTTGTTCATTTTTACAGAGCTACCACCATGCTGAAAACTGTAGGAGTTCTTTTGGTGAGTATTTGTTAAATTAATATGATTTTAATGTTGATCTCTCAGTTGGTAAACAAATTAATTTCTGTTTCGTCAGAGCTATACTACATATTTTCTGAACATTGCAAACCAATCTACATATCGAACGTATTGTTATAAATTAATTAATTGCTTCTTTAAAAGAGCAACCAAGGATGATATACTTTTATACCATTATAAGGTATTTCTCACGCCTTCCTAGCGTGCCTTCGTTGTGTAAGTGGTTTTGCACGCTGGGCCGGTATTCCAGAGGTCCGTGATTTGATTCCCGGCAAAGGTATTGCTTCATTTTTCTTCTTGTCTGCTTCCAAAATGTACCTAATGTCTCTACACCATCAAAGATGACAACTATTTTGGCTTTTCCTATTAATGTTTAGTCATCCAGCTAGATACCACTTGATACTAACTAGACTTCTCCAACAGAAGGTTTAGCAGACCACACGGCATATATTTAAATTAAAAAATATGTACATTTACAATTAACACAGAGTATTACATATATGAAATACTTTACCTCATACATACATAAATGTATAGCTTAAAAGTTTATGTTATCTAAGTTAATGATTCTAACAATAATACGTAAGTCCAGAATAATCATGCTACATAAATCCATGATATGTCCATGATACATAGATCAATAATATAATGCCCATGGCAGTCATCATGCATAAAGTCCTGCAACAGATCTGTATCATAAGTCCTGATACATTTTAGAGCTCTACCTAAGGCTATCCATCACACTGCCTTTTCTATTCTATTATATAATGTCTATTCACTAGAGCATACTGTACTGCACAATAGTTGATAATTTCACTTAATTTTCTTTTAATTTCGCCTCTTCGAATGAGTGGTGACTCAGATGATTATTGCCTGTTAAGCTGCAATTGAATAAAAAGTGGCCGGGGTCACCAACCTTACCACACTGATAGCGTTTCGAATACAAAAAAAGAATCTCAAATCCTTAAAGAAGAAATACATACTGCAATCCATTACCTTTATTAAATCAATAAAACATATTAAAAGTATATAATTAGTAACAATCTTAATTTTACTTGGCCTAAAAAAGGAACTAGCGATCTGCGCAATTGCAATAGATCTACAAGTTCCAATAGCTAACTGAAATGTGCAGATGTCTGACGCTTTATTTCCATCATTTAATTAGAATGGCTCACATTTGTGTTCAACACTGGTACATTTTAAATTTATTTGCATAGATGATGTGCTAAATTTTGAAACATTGACTTCAGGTCTTTTTAATACATCATTTTCGCTCTATTTTAAGCCTTGCTTGTTGTAAAATGAATGTCATTAAAATATTCCTTGTAATAAAAAAAGTTTGTTATTTAGTTACTCACATAATCCTTTGCACACACTAAAATGTTTTTGAAATATTTTCGTAGCCTGTGTTTCTTACTATAATTTTTTGTTTTAAATTAAAACATATCATAAGAATTATCTTCTGCATTTGGCAGGTTTTACTTGTTTGCAAAATATTAAACAAAATCTGAAGAGAGCATGGCAAGGTGGTACAATGTAATGACCAATTCTGTTAAAAATTTAATGATTCATCTTTTTAAGGAAGACAAAAGTATTCCATATACCCCCAAAATACATGTAATACATTTAAGTATCTTTGATCTGATAAAACGATGGAAATTGCGTGGGACTGTTCGAAATGCACTGGAGTCTGGAACGCATTCCAAGCTAACACCAACTAATCGCGGATTTATTCTATGAAAAATCAAACAACACCTAAAAATTGTGCATTAAATGTTGGGCAGATTTAGTAGAATGGTTTGAAATAAAAGTTAACCGCAAAGATTATAGAAGAGTCATTTAGAGCACAGGATACAGTAGGGAATCATCAAGAAGGAAGTTCTTCGTCAACACAACAACAAAAAAAAAAAAAAAAAAAAAAAAAAAAAGGAAAATTACACCTTGCATTCCCAATAATCCACGATAAGCAAAGTTTTGTCATATTATAACAATGTACTACTTGCAGAAAATTAAAAATTTAATATATTTGAGTCCAATAGATGAATTAATAGTAAAACAAATTCAACAAACCTATTGCTTAATGTTATGAACGCGGGTGGAGGTATGTATGTGCGCAGATAGAGGTTTGGGGATGTTTCGCTGCCTTTGGAATAAGAATTTTGGTGCTTAAAAAAATATTGAATGTTCCGTTATTTTCATGTTTGTGTTAAGTTTAGACTGTTTATTCAAAGTGTCCGAACATTTATGTGGGTTTATTTTCAAAACATTTTGAGTATTTTTTTTACTACGAAAAACGTTTTGAATAACTTTTTTCAAAACAAGCAGGTTTAAAATATATTATCAATAGTGTATGTGAACAAAAAAATAATGTCATTTTTTTAATATTTAGTAGTTGATACTTGCAAAAAAAACCTGAAAAACTCAAAGTCCAAAAACAAAGGTGAGCCAGTGCAAAGGCTTCAAATGAATATAAAATGGAACTGTATATCACCATTCCTACTCTAAAACATTGTATAGATTGTATCAAATTATTGCTTATGTACACAGGGCTTAATTTCTGAAATTAGAAATGTCATTCTGAAATTAGAAGACCAACTAAGGAAGGCCGTCAAGAAAGAGGGAAAAAAAAGTAAATCTGTAAAATAAATAATAATCTAATAACATACTTAAAATATTCGAATAATTAAAATTAAAGTTCAATAAAATGGGAAGAGATTAATAACAATCTAATAAATAATTAATTTAATGTCAAGTATATAAATAATAAAATAAAATGCCGGACTTCGTCTCATTTGGGGCTTCAGTTAGAATTACAATTTCACTTAAAAACTAAGAAATAGTTCAGCTGGCCTCTGGCTGAATTTAAGCTCTGAATATGCAGTATAATGAACTATTTCAAGGCATGAGAGGTAAAAAAAGTTCATTTTTGCTCCGAGTATACCAATGGAAGAAAAGTTAAAACGGTTAAAGCGTCGCTGATGCAAATAGAGAGAATGCTAGAAACAATATGAAACTATGGAAGGAAAGTTTAACGGAGGTGTGTAGGTATGATTACGAAGAAAGAAGAGTCCATTACGTTCTTACAGCAATCTCCAGTCGATATAATTCTAGCTGTCAAGGAGAATGTGACAGGAAAAAATTTTGTCCTGAATCTGAAAGTTGATCTGTAAGCTGAGAACAAGTGTAAGTTTCTGGAAAAATGACAACCCTTCTCTCCCGTAATTCGTTACACTGTTTCAAAAACAGTACAGGTGCTCTTTGCCGTGGAAGCAAGTACTGTTGGAAACGAATGACTGGAATGAATACTCGTAGTAGTTTTAGAAACGAAAAACTCACCTGCTGTTATAAATTCATTACGCTGTTGGAGAATAAACCTTTGACAAGTGGGAGGGGCATTTTTCCCCTTATAAGTTTCAACCTAGGTCAAAATGTTTGTTCCCCAGGGAAGGACAAGCATGCATTCAGAAGTTATAATCGATTTTTAAGGCATAACTATTATTAAAATTTGTTTGCTGAAATTATTGTTTTTGTAAAAGAAGTGCCCTCCAGTTAAAATTACAATTTATCTCAAAAACTGAGAAGTACCGTATCCAGGCTGTGGTAAGCTCTTGCACTTTTAGCTCTATATGTGTGGTGTGTATATATTTCTGTTTCCTAATTCATATCTATTTATACTGTGTATTTTAATATTTTACAATTAATTCAAATTTTATTTTATTTTATTTTTGTAATTGGTTACCTCTTTAATTCTGGACAATATTAATCTCAGTTTTGCACGCTTTTGTACTTTGCATTTACATGTTAGATGGTTTGATTTAAAACCGCTATGATATTTTATTTGGCTAAAAATATCTCTTGTCTCTTTCACTTTCTTTAAGTTAGTATGTCTACAATGAATAATGCATATTTTATTAATGAAAACTATTACAAAATGTTTATTAATTTAGTCTGAGATTTATAATTATGAATTAAGTATTTATATTTTAATATGAAATTCATACGATTATGAATGCAGTTTCGTTTGTTAAATATAACTTTTTTGACATCTGAACGTTTGCAATATATGATATCGGTTTTCCAGCATCATGCGAGAATTTATCTTCTCATTCTATTAAGAAAAGAGAAAAAGATAGATATAAAAAGAGAAAAAAAAAATGTTGAGACTGAAAATATAATCTGATTTTCCAAGTAATTAAAAAAATAAAATAATATTTTGTTAAAATAAACAGTGGCCGAAAGGGTAGGATGGCTTGACATTGGTAGTCCGACCCGAGTTCATATCCAGTGCAAGGACAGGTTATATGAGCAATTTTGTAGCTTCTCTCACAGGTAACATAAATGCAAGCCAGTTTCCTTAAATTAGTCTACTAACGGCCGAGCGATAAAAACCCTGAAAACTAGTAGTTCGACCCGATTCAAATTTGTGCAAGCGGACTGGCTGAGTGAGAAGTGTTGTGCTTTTCCCGAAGTGTAAGATGAATTCGAGCTGGTATGCTTAAAAGGCCCTCTACGAAGGCATTTCTCTTCTCAGGCAAGTAGCCATTGTATGTTGTGCCGTAATCTAAATAATTTAAAATCGGTTTTCATCGAGGACTTTCTAAGGGAAACGAGTGCTCGACGAATACTTCCTTTCTCTTTGGCAGATAGTTTTAAAATGCTTTACCTTAACCAAATATTTAAATTCAATTAACATTTTTTATTAAACTTTTAATCTGTTTATTGAACTGAAAACACGAGATTTTTGTCTTATTTGAATATTTTAAATAGATCCTGAATGACCGATTTGTATAATATTAAGTTTATTAAAGAAAATTTTGATATGATAATGCTTCGTTTTAATTTTCTATTATTTTATTTTTAGCTGTGCCTCGCGGCTGTTGCTTTCGCTGATGAAAGAGGTGAGTAAAGAAGTTTGCTTTTGAATAAAAGTAGATACGAGCTGATTATCAAGGTACACACATGAAACTTTTAAAAACTGAAAAATTACAGAATGTAAATGTTTTCAGTAGATGTTTCAATTAACAATATTACTTGAAATTTCAGTTACGGTTTAAACTATTAGCTTCAAAAATCGCTTGTTTAGTGCAAATTGAAGACTATCAACGTAGAACGATTAGAAAGAACGATCTTTTATGATTGAGCACCACTTCTCAGGGCATAAATTTGATTGCGATCCAATCTTTTATACACTGTTTATAAGTGACTGCGACATTTTTTTCTGACTTTGTTCATTTTGTCCGAACTCGAAAGAGACCCACTTCATTTCTTACTGTGAAAGTTTCAGTTTCTCGAAATCAGGTTACCGAGCTCAATTATAAAAATTCAGTTTCGTTAAGAAAAAGGGCATCTTCATATTTCACCAAATAAATTATTTTTAAAGCTAACAATATACACTGAAACTAATATTTAAAGTGACATATTTGTAACAGTATAAAGGGATTTCATCCATTGAAACAGTTTGTCGTGAATATCCATTCTGGAATTTCACAATTTTATGAAAGTTTGATGTGCTCAACTTTTAGATCACCCTGTAAATCTGTTGACTGTCAGCTTCTATGAAAAATTTTACATTGTCTTAATATTTTACTAAAAGTAGTCTCCGAGTTTTTCTTATTATTTATCCATATTTGAATATGGTTTTGATTTTTATACGCTGCAGCTCTCATAATTTTACAGACATTCAGTCTGTAGGAATATCACTTGTTAGATTAATAACTTAGTGAAGAAAATTTTATTTCTGAGCCAAACAATATGAACCATTATTGTTTATAAATCTTTTCAACAGCTGTAGCACATCAAACGTTTTTGGAAGTTGCATTTTGTTGCCTTCAAAGGTACAGTTGCCTATCATGCTCATATGATCTAAAATCCTAAATTAAATTCTACCCATTTTTTTTTGTTTGAAATATCTGTAGAGAGAAAATTCGTCTAAAACAGTGTTCTCCAAACTATTGAAATATTTTCATTATTTTCCTGAGGACTGTAAGGGTTCCTCCCAAACAAAATAGTTTTATAGGTTCCCTGAGTCGACGAAATTTGAAGAATAGAATAAAGTAATTTTCAATTAAGAGCATCATCTTTCAGAACAGTCTCTGAGGAATTAGCAACTTTATAATTCTTTCCTCAGAGTCAATTTGTTTGATAATATAAAAGCGAAAAAATAGCTCAGAAACGATGAAATGAATTGTATGCGTACGTTTATCTTTAATCGAAATGTCTGTACCCATTCTTGTTTAGCTTTAACTTTTGATAAACTCCTTTAAAAAGAAAAGGAAAGTCAAAAATCTCCACAAGGGAAGAGTCACGAGATTTCGCTATCCTGCATGTTATGATATGATATAATCTGATATTCTGCACTTAAATCCTAATACAGAGTTTGAAATATTTATAACGAAACACCATCCGTCAGCATGTACCATTCTAAGATTACGAAGATTACGAAGTGCATCAAGCACAGAGTCCGTAAATCTTATCAGCTCCAATGCAAATAAACAAATGGTAACTATTCCAGACGTTAATTTTTTTAATCTCGTGGAGGAAATTTGACTTCGAAAGGTCAAGCACTTTCTAGAAATTTTTATAAATTCAGAAAGAAGTAGCAGATAAAATACTGAGAGAAAATTTATGCAACTCGCTAGCAACAAGTAGACAAGCAGGAATGATTAAAATTTAATGCCTTCTAAGAACTCTTAATTTATGCAATTCAATGTAAATTATTTCAAGCAGTGAAAAAATCCTTAATTGTTTTTCAGATTCTGTGAAATCAAAAAAAAAAAAAAAAAAAAAAATCTATGAGATCCAAGTGCATTGTTAGACATGCAACTAAAATTAGATGTTCCGAAAGCTAATGCTGAATTGACGGCCATTTAGAAATCGACTTAATACCTTTTCAAATGCAGTGAAATTTAGAACACGTGAACTGTATGAGTTACTGTTCATCCGGATGTTAAAAAAATTTGGAAAATTATGTTTTTTCGTTAGATCAAATGCATATTTATTGTAATGGTATTATTTTACTTATCACGTTATATTTAAACCATAATTATATGGCTAAAACGTTTTTTTTATTTCCTTGAAGCAAAATACAAAAGGTACTTGTTTTGAAAAAATTAAATAATGAAATAGCTTTCGTTTTTAAAAACTTAACCATTTTTATTTATTTACTAAAATAAAAGAATAAAATTAATTTTATTTACATAGGTCTTAATAATTAACATTTCATCTGTCTAAAATTAAATACCTCTTTTCCTAATATTCAGTTAGTAGAAAGAATGTTTATTACGGCTAAGTAATGACTCGAGAAGAAAACAAAATACAGCAAGCATACACACAGTGTACAATAGCTTTTGCAATTAAGCTAACTATTTACTGAATGTTATAATTCAATCTAGATGTCACACAAGCTTAAAATATTGTATTCTACTGTCTTATAATACTACTAGCTTAATTAATATTTATGCTGTTTATTTCAAAAATTAAAAACGTGTAAATCAGTTCGTAACAGTTCTAGTTTTACTTAGCCTAGGAAAAAAGCTAATTCTGAAAAGTTAAAATCCTGACAATTGAATGTAGTATTGCAAGCGCATATATTAGCTAACTGATCCTCTATGTCGGTTACTTCTCGTGCATTATGCTAAATAAGAATTTCGCTTTGACAGTTTCATATCTCTGATTAATAACTTCGAACATACCTGTATTACTCCTAATTATTGAAACTTTGAACCATGTAATAGAAGATATTATCTGCATAAAATCAAACTAGATCTCCCGTTGAATTTCCTTCTATCAGTAGGGGATAGTTAAGAAAAAGGCAAGATAATGTTTGCATTTAGTTTCTGCTTGGCATGTTCCCCGAGACTAATTCAAAATACTCATGTAGAAGAATTCTGTATTTTCCCACTTTATTGAATTACATAACTATTTCTGACTAGGCTGTTGTTATTTAGGATGTGATATTGCCTAAAATGGAAAGGCCTACATTCCAGTGTTTTTTTTTACAGAGCGCAATAAGAATATTGATTATACCATGTATTTCAAATATACAAATAGCAATACAAAGCGTCCCAGTGTCCCTATAATAAACCCTTCTAGTTTAATGCAATGTGATAAACTCATTTAGACTGATATTTTTAACTAAACCGTTTTTTAACATATTTGCTGGAAATATTTACAAATAAAACATAGCTCTTTTAAGCGCGTATATTTATGTCTGTACCCCGTAGCTCGTTGACGAAGGTCGGTCGTTGCGACCTTGCAGAAAATCCTTCTTGTGAAGCCTCATCAGCGTCCTCCAGATTTCTGCTCCCGAAAATGCTATGGAATAGCTGCGTGAATTTTTAGGTGTTTTTTTTTATGTATAACATAAATAGGGATTTGTTTCTATTAAAAAATCCAGTAGGCTTTTGTATCCCTTAGATAGATAAGCCTTGAATGCCTTTCCATTATTAAGTAATTCAGTACTTTTTATATAAACCAATCTGATTATTCTTTAATCTCTCGCCATATGAATGCAAACCCCTACGTGAAAACTACTTGTGCAATGTTGTTTCATGGGATCTACGAGGAGGAGTTTCAGATGATCATGAATTTTTTTCATACATGCTTCATTTCATTAAATTAAAATAGCATGACAAGAGTTAATACAAAACTATGAGCTGGCCACACTATACATTGTTCTTCATTCAACTCTAAAACGTTGAGTAGATGACCATTTAACCAAATTATTTTATATCAAGAACATGAACTGAAATGTCATTCCATCATCTCATTCATACTGAATGTGCATTAGATTTTCTTCATCTCACTTTATTATGCTTTATCTACAGAGGAGTTAACCTGCCAGGAGGATCGTGCCAAGAGGTTGAATGCCACCGTTACGGAGAGCATCATCCACCTGATCCCCGAATGCGATGAGAATGGTGACTACGCCGCTAAACAGTGCTTCACGAACAGCAAGTGGTGCGTATGCTACACAAGAGACGGCACCAACATCGGCCGACCTTCTATGAAGATCAAGGCATGCGAGTGCGTCAGACAGAGACACGAAGCCAACCTTTCAGGTATTTTATAATTCTCATAATTATCTAACCTTTTTTAGTGGACAGTTCACAAAAAATTGACCGAAATCACAAAAACTACATACTGCTTTTGTTCGAAAGTCTGGAAATCTGCACGAGACTTAACTAATCTACAGAAGCTCGTAATAATCTAAAATTTTAATAATTTACAGAAGTTTGGAAGTCTGGAAACCTGCACAAGATTTAAATACCTACTTAAATAATACATGCTATAGAATGAAAGTAGTTGTGGCTTCGTATCCGGAATCCAACGACCCGGAATTTTGTTTGTTTGTTTAATTAAAGAAGCACATAATATCTATGTTACAGACCGAGTGCCAGACTAGAAAAGGCTGGAAAATGAGAAACATAGTGTTAGCCTTAAGGAAATAGATACATTAAACAGGAACATGAGAAACATAGTGTTAGCCTTAAGGAAATAGATACATTAAACAGAAGTAAAACTTTTAATTCCCAGAAACAATACTTTTTTATCAGCACGGCTAAAATACCTGCACAGTTTATAACAAAAACATCCAAAAATGCACCTGATTAAATTACAAAATGCTCTGTATGCGACTTTTTTATAACACGGCCCACCAGCGGCCGAGCGGTAAAGTCGCTGAACACTGGTAGTTCGGTCCGAATTCCGCGAACGGGCTGGCTACATGGGCGTTTTGTGGTTTTTCCCCATGTGTAACGTGTATACGAGCCAGTTTCCCTTAGAAAGCCCTCCACGGTATCCCTCGCCTTAGGCAGATAGCCCTAGTGTGCTTTGCCATAATTAAAATACACATAAAATACACATACATTTTTATAACACGACAGATATCAATACGACAGTCAGATTTTCCCCAACCACATCTCAACATGTTGATGTTAACAGGCTCAGTAGCTGGTGGCACGCTTTTGTTTAAAATAATCCAAACTTGTAGGAAGAAAAGCTGCAAAACTTTGGTCCTTGATGTTATGCCTGCAAATAATATTCGCATGATCTTATATCCGGACTTCTTGGTGGCCGATATGCAATACTCTGGTTTGTTGAATAACCAGTCTGATGCCGAGGCAGATTTTTTGTTCCATACCGTGCTGTGTCTAAATAACGTTTTAAAATATCCGAGAAATTTGTTTTCAGAGAATGCTAGGAACACCTGAAATATTTAAAATGTTTAAATTTACTGATTTATTAGGTATGAAAGTAGTTAAGTACATTACGTATTTGGACAGTCTTTACACCTCATAAGTTCAGTTTAGTCTGTATTTTTCCAATCTTCCCTAGACGTGAAAGATATGGCTATCCGTGATGTTCACATCTATGTAATTTGGAGGTCTAAGTTTCAGAAATTGTCTAAATAAGTGGTTTGCTTCAGAATGGTCCTGTAGTAATGAACGACTTCGTGTTGCTGAGATTGATGCCACTAGTTGGGTATGGTTTGGATTTCTTCCCACTTTACGGAATCCTTGATGTCTCAGACCTTACCCAGTTTAGTTTGAGTTTCGTCCTTAACCTTTTTGCACAACTGCCTTTGTTTTCTTGGAAGATCCAGCTATCAAGAAGCTGTCTGTGTAAAGGGGTTTCTGTGTTCTTCAGGATACTACTGAATTTTTGCAGGACATTATCATCGAAGAGATCAGCTATTTTTTTTCAACTTCTTTTTATTGGAGAAGACTGCGTAGCTGTGGTTTGGAAGTTTCCAATAAGACCCTAAGCACTTTAAAGATATGAGTGTTCCCACATACATTTACTGTAGTTTCTTCTCCATTCCTTCTCTCTCGGTCTCTATTTAGCTACAGCATATGTATTCCATGGTAAAATCGGCAATGAAAATGTTTTGTAGTGTCCCATTTCCTGAGTCCCTAAATATTTTTTCACGGGGACTTTTTTTGTTGCTCCAAGCACATGCTTATTTTTTGTAATGATTAATCCAACCCTACAAAAAACCAGAAAGTAAAAAAAAAAAGTTCCGCTTTCAACATGTGACAGAATTCGCATAAGGTTCTTAACGGGCGACTGAATTCAAAATACAGAACAATCTTTTTGCACTTGCGTTCATTGTGCAGAAATTTCGTAATACAACGTATTCGTTATGCGAAACGACGCCACATTATCTTGAAATTTTTTTTTGAGAAAATGTGATATTATTTGAGGCCTTTTCGTAAAACATTTTAAAAATGTTTACATATTATCCCATCGAGTAATTTGGTTACTATGCGTATTGCTTAATCATTGTGGCCTCTTTTATCACTTTGTCCAGAATATATAAATATTCATGTGCAGTCGTTAAGGCATCCGAGATAAAATATCATACGTCTGCTGTTCACATAATCATGCCATTGGAGCTAAATACCTGAAGTCTCAGATATTCGTGATTGTCGCGCCTGCGCAGATAAATTCCTGTGATCCATAAATGAGAATCTACACAAAGTCATAAATACCACAAGAAGCATAAGCAGAACTTACACATTGTTGCGAGGTGATGACATCGTGATGCAATCACTCCCCCTTTATGCAGCTTCTGATAGAAGAAGTCGAAGTTTTTAACTGTGTGCTCGCGAAACGAAAAAATAGAGCAACTTGAGGCGGAACCGAGCAATCAAAACAATATAATGCTGCCATTTTTCAACCGAAACACAATGTTCACGTTTAACATATACGTTAGCCTTATTGCATATGTTAAACTTAATGTATGTAATATATGTTAGGCTTAATATATGTAAACGCACTTTTTCACAAAGAGCCATGAAAGATTTCGACATCTTCTGATATTTATTTTCCTTGTAATATGGCTCCATCAGTGGCCGACATGTTAAGACCGCTGAATACTGGTAGTTGACCGAGTATGGGTTCAAACCCAAGTGAACAGGTTGACTGCATGATTGGTTTTTGTGGCTTTCTCCATATGTAACGTAAATACAAGCCAGTTTTCCTCAGACATTCTAGGAAGGTATGCCTTCTCTTAGGTAGATAGCCCTCTTGTTTCGGGTCCGCCAGCGACCAAGCTGTAAAATCGCTCAACACTGGGGGTTCGGTCTGAGATTCGAATTCTAGCAAATGGACTGGTTGCATGGACGTTTCCGGGGTTTTCCCATGTATAGTGTGAATACAAGCCAGTTTCTTTTAGAAAGTCTTCCGCGAAAACATCCCTTTTGTTAGGCAGATACCCCTTGACTGCTTTATCAGAATCAAATAAGCTAACTAACCAATCCTCTTGACCATCCTCAAATAATCTAATTTAACCTTGTAAAACGTTATAATGCGAAACTGTACCATTTTACTACTATAACTATTGCTTTTTTATTAACTTATCTCTCAAAATAGTCACAGAAAATTTTAGAATTTAGGGGACGTATATTTTCTGGTATTTAGAGTTCGTCAAACCTCTGACAAAATATTAAGTACGCGTAAGGTTATTCTCTCGTATTTGGCTTTGTCTTTACTTGTATTCTCCATAGTTTTGCTAATGTAAGGTATGCTTAGAGCATGCGACTTCAGCAAGGTCAAGTTTATTCATACTGTAAAGTAATTCTTAAACTGCAGTGGTCTCGTATATCTGGTAGAAAGAGAAGATGGGAATGAGAATCCGAGATACCATTTCACTCATAGTTTTTGACCGAAATTGGGACAAAATTAGGTACAAAATCATACAAATCATTAGGAAAAAACAACTTACTATCCATAAAAATACAAAAACAACTTCAAATGCTCATAAGTTTTAAATCAGCCGTGGGTGCATTCATATGCCAACCATGAATCTTTGTAAAATTGTCCAAATGTCCACTTCATTCGCTTGTCCGACGGTCCGGGAGTGGCAGATGTATCAGATATAAATGGAAAAGTAGAAGATGATCTATTTCTTTAACGTTTTCGATATTATTTCTTCATTTTTTCCTTTTTTTTAAAAACTCTTACGGACATCAGAGAAAATATTCATATAAAAAACAAAATCCACAAATTCTAATGTTTTAAATATTTCCAGATGATTACATTTCCTAAAGCAAACTACCCAAAGTGTTTTAAACAAAATTTATTGATTTATTTCTTCATGTACAAAATATTAATATGTGCATCTTACCATTTTTCTTCAGGTGAAACCTACGTTCCTACCTGCTCAGATGATGGTTACTACAGACCAAAGCAGTGCAACCGGGACGAATGTTGGTGCGTCGACAAAGACGGCAACTCCCTCACTGACCCTAAGACTGGCGATGTCACCTGTTAGTTTTTATTTCTGGAGCAAAATAAAATAATGTTCTGAATTAAGAAAAGTCTCATACCTACGTCAATAGAGTTCCTGAATTATTTTATCTTATGAATCCTTTAAACTGGTAATTATGATTTATCAGAAGTCAAATACTGTATTACTTAGGAAGAACAAGGACATTATTATTTACATTTTTAGTGAAGTATCAGATCATGAAAGATAGTAATAATACATAGTAATAATATACATAGTAATAATATTTATGCATGTGGTCGTTAATCGAAAATTATTGTTGCGTGCGTACGGGTTCGTAATGGATTGAATGCACAAGTCGATAAAAAGTTAATCAAATTTATTCTTAGCCCAAGAAATAAAAGAAAATGCTGAAATTTCCTCGGAGATATTCGTACAATATCGCAATATCTCACAATAGTTATATTTTAAACTACTAAAACGGTATACAGAACACAATTCAAGGAAAAGAAAGCTAATCCGATCTCACTGCGAATTCGCTACTGACAACAACAAGAACTAAATAAACAGTTGAACAACAACTGAATTGAGATGTTTTGATCCAACTTTTATAAGCTTTTTAATCCTGCACGAGAACATTCTGGTATTTTCTCGATTTTTATGGATAGTAAAAGAGTTCAATTACGAGATATATATGTTTATTAAAATGTTAATGGCGCGTGCTCCTGTATTTTAATTTTTCCAGCGTAGCTTTCTCTTTAAATAAGTCTATATAAAACAATTTTAATTATAAATTCTACTAAAAATACTTAAATAAATGAGAAAACCGTAACAATATTTTATACAGATTGCAACTTATTTGATAAGCTTAAACTGAGTTTGGCTTACTCTAAAACTAGTCTAACGATCTAGTCTGCTAGAACTTTCATTCCAGCCTTAACTAACAATACTAGAGCTTTAAATGAATACAAGAGAAACAATAACAACTATAATTTTATTATTCGCTTCAACCTGAAACACAGACTTAATCAAACATAAATTTTTTTCCGCTTCTCGCGAGAATAACAGATAACAATCTGATGAAATTCTCAGATTCAGTAGTTTATCAACTAACAATTATTGTCATTAAGAAAACAAACAATATTTGAGATTTTATCTTAATTTTATAGACTGATACTTATAAAGACTCTATGCCTGACTATAGATTACTACTGTGTCCGCCGAAAACGTCATGGTAAAAACATGGCAGACGAAAACGTCGCGAAGGAAACAACGTAAGAAGAAAACGCCGTGGTACAAAACATCGTGGAAGAAAAACTTCACAGTTCTTAAACATCGTGGTCGAAAATAAAGCGGTTCAAAATCTTCGAAGTTTAAAAATATCGTAGTAAAAAATATAGTGGTAAAAAATAAAGCACCTATAAATCATCGCATGACAATAACATCGCACACATGCATTTTCAGGTTTTGAAAGTTGAAAATACATGTGCTTATAAGGTATTTCTCCCGCTTTTCAGCGTGCCTTCGTGGTGTAACGGTAGCACGCTAGGCCGGTATTCCAGAGGTCCGTTGTTCGATTCCCGGCGAAGGCGTTGCTAATTTTTCCTCTCTCTGGCTAATGTTTTAATGAAAACTACATATTGTTTTGTTTCCGTTTATTCTTAAAGTGTCGGTAACTTTTTCATGCATAGCGTGCAGTCCTTTTTTTTGGATGTCGATTTGTTAGTTAGGACGAAAGTCAGTTATATATGTTATTATGCGATTTGAAAAAAGCATGCATGCGATGTTATCGTCGTGCGATGATTTGTAGGTACTTTATGTTTTACCACGATATTTTCGACGACGGTGTTTGTACCACGACGTTTTCTCCTTGCATTGTTTTCTCCACGGCGTTTTCGTTCGCGATGTTTTCGTCTGTAACCTAAGGAGTAGTAGCAGAATTAGTTCCAAGTTTATGCTGCGTGTTTGAAATAGATCTCTAGTTGGTGTTAGCCACCCTCTTCAGATTGCGTGATATTCTAGGCTCGGCTTTGCTGTGTGCAGCCGATTTAGAGGGTTTAAATAAATAAAGAGCCAGTCGTTTAGGCATCGTAATTTATTGTGATTTTACATTTTTATTTTCTTTTCGAGTTATATAACCACAATCGGTGGTGAATTGTGAGCACCAAATGAGTGCCTCTTGTTAAGTTAGTTCAAATAAAAATGTCATTTAAACCTTATTCTTCAGTATCTGTTCATCAAAGACATAGTGAGAATTCGCTACGCAGTCTTTTTTACGTAGGGTCTACAATTTATGCTCTCAAAAAGACATTGACTCTACAAACCCAAACTAATTCTTGAAGAAAAGGGCAGTTACTTTTTTTCCTTAAGAAGGAAATAAATGAAAATATCCTTATCAAATGCTATGTAAACAAATTTATAATTTTTACTACCAGAGTTGAGCAGAGGTACTTTTTCATCTGAGGAAAGAGAGTAAATGCGCGCCCCTAATATAATGTTACGAAATGTACAGACGCGGTAAGATGGCTTCCCCGCAAAGCAGTTTTAGGGTTGCCATAAAATGGCAAGGGAAGGCAGGGTTGCCATATTTAGCGAGAAATCGCCCATTTTGCTACAAAATCGGCGATATGCCATGGACGGATGGAGAATTTTCTGGAACGAATTCTTACCGGTTTAGCCCAGAATGTTCTCGAACACAAGCCGAAAGCTATATAAACCCTGCTCGTCCGCAGTCAGTTAGTGTGTGTGTGTGCCTCGTCCAGCGAGCTGATAGTCAGTCATTAAGCGAGTGTCTCGAAGTCGAGCGCCGAGTGGGCCGTCGAGTGCACCGAAAGAGTCTGTTAGTGTATCGTGGTTAGTGTGTAAGGATCTTAAGTTTTACTAACGTTTATTTTATTTTAAATCTTTACTATCACTTCTTATTTTCTACTTCCGGCCAGAATTAAAAGCGTTAACTTATTTATGCAAAATTTGTCTGGCGAACGCCAAGTACTTAAGTTGTGGCTTTTTGCCAAGCGAGAGAGAGGAAGGAGTTAGTCGAAGCAGGCCGCTTGCCTTAGAAGTTTTACTCGGTTGCTGGTTGCCTTCCAGGCCAGAGGTTTAATCCTCTTGATAATGTTAAACGTATTGTAGTGTTAACAGTTGTCTCTACTACATACGGCTTCCTGTTAATATAAGGCCAATCTTCCACGTAGGCCCTTGTTTATTATTCCAAAGTTAAGTTAGAGTTTAGTTAAATATTTTTATATTCTTACGTTCAGACCACAAGTAGTTGGTACCTGTATTCCGAAGTACGGAAATTATTGTAAAGAGTGAAAAATAAAGGGTTTTCGTATACCCTTCCTGTGTATCCTGTCTACTTCCCACATTTATTGAACATAGCTTTAGTAAGCTCCCTGTTCCGAGTCAGGTCCTTGCATGTTCCCAAAGAAAGTAAGACGGAACATTGAACCTGATAGTGGCGCCCAACGAAGAAGAATAACCATGGCCGAGTTTCAAGAAGAACCTGTGCTGCCTGCAGAAGCGGCTCAGAATCCAGAAATGCCAGCTGCCGCCCTGGAAGGATTTGGTTACATCGTCCAGACCATGCGCGCTTCGATGAAACCAGAAGCAACATTTAATGGAAACTCACCGGTAACCAGTTTTTTGGAAAAATTGGATGACCACTTCATGCTCTACCCCGTGCACGAGTTTCAAAAAGTTACCTTAGCTACCAGCGCTTTGAGGGGCCAAGCGCTTAACTGGTTCAAATGTATAGGCAGAAGTCTCTTGGGTCAAGCAGGAAGTCCCACCTATACTTACGAAATTTCAAGACTGCCCTAGTAAAAGCCTTCCCTGTCGTAAGGGATCGTGCGAAATTAGAAACGGAACTTTTCAGCATATATCAGCAAAGAATCGAAAATCTCTCAAGCTTTATTTTAAGAAAAATTCACGTCTTCAAACTCTTGTATGGAAACCGTCCGGATCCTGAGATAATTCAAGTGATTTTGCCGAGGTTACTGCCCCAAGTGCAAGACTTTATTGAATTAAGAAATCCGACTACACTGGAAAAGTTATTTGAGCTAGCAATCCAGTTTGAAAGTAGAAGAACGGCGGACATTGAAAGAAGACGCCAATATCAACAACGAAACCAATTTGGTGCGCCAAGACTACAGCAAACTCAAGCACACGGCTACGGAAGCAAAGCGAATCAGTGGGCAAGGAAACCCGAGCATCCAAAAACAGCCGGCGAACGTCGACAGTTCAATAGCAATCCAGGAAAAAAGTCTGAAGGCCAGTGGAAAAAGAAGGAAAGCATGGAAAGAAAAAAGGATTTAAACTAAAACGGATTTCTGCTGACGGGAGGGTGCGGAAATCCGAAGGCCAAGAAAACCCCTCTTCCTTCAAGTTAAATACAGTAATGGTGAAAAATTTGACTCTTCCGAAGATTGAAGTGTTGGTGAATAATATCCCAGCCACCGCACTCCTGGATACAGGCGCGCAGTGTTCCTGTGTGGCAGAAGATTTTTTTAGGAAGTATTTTCGTAAATATCGCATATATAATTCGGATAATACGACAGTGTTAGCTGCGCAAGGAGAAAGATGTAAGTGCATAGGTAAATTACCGCTATACGTCCGTATCAAGGACGAACAAGTAAAGGTTATGTTTTTTTATAGTAAAGAATCTGCAAGCACACATTATCTTAGGAATAGATTTTCTTTCAGAGGCACAAGCAACGCTGGATTTTAATGAAGCGTCCCTTAAGCTGACGATGAAACCAGTTCGAGAAGAAAAGGCTGAACCGCCGATGTTAAACCTTGACCACCTGCCTAATGAAGAGCAACGAAGAATCCGACAAGTGGTAAGTGAATTTGCTTCGTTATTTAGTGATATTCCAGGATTTACTCAGGTTACTAACCATAGTATTGACACCGGAGATTCAATGCCAGTTCGCCACAAAGCATACCGGTATGATAAGAATAAAGAAAAAATTATAGAATGGCACATTAGCGATATGCTACGTAAAAAGATCATAACGCCCATCTCAAGTAGTTATGCTAGCCCGTGGTTTTATGTAAGAAAAATAATGACTATCCATTGACACAT